GTATGATGCTGTCTCTGTGTCAGTATGATGCTGTCTCTGTGTCAGTATGATGCTGTCTCTGTGTCAGTATGATGCTGTCTCTGTGTCAGTATGATGCTGTCTCTCTCTCTCTGTCAGTATGATGCTGTCTCTCTCTGTGTCAGTATGATGCTGTCTCTCTCTCTCTGTGTCAGTATGATGCTGTCTCTCTCTGTATCAGTATGATGCTGTCTCTCTGTGTCAGTACGATGCTGTCTCTCTCTCTGTGTCAGTATGATGCTGTCTCTCTGTGTCAGTACGATGCTGTCTCTCTCTGTGTCAGTATGATGCTGTGTCTCTGTGTCAGTATGATGCTGTGTGTCTCTCTGTGTCAGTATGATGCTGTCTGTCTCTGTGTCAGTATGATGCTGTCTGTCTCTGTGTCAGTATGATGCTGTCTCTGTGTCAGTATGATGCTGTCTCTGTGTCAGTATGATGCTCTCTCTCTGTGTCAGTATGATGCTCTCTCTCTGTGTCAGTATGATGCTGTCTCTCTCTGTGTCAGTATGATGCTGTCTCTCTCTCTCTGTGTCAGTATGATGCTGTCTCTCTCTCTGTGTCAGTATGTTGCTGTCTCTCTCTCTGTGTCAGTATGTTGCTGTCTCTCTTTCTCTGTGTCAGTATGATGCTGTCTCTGTGTCAGTATGATGCTGTCTCTGTGTCAGTCTGTGTCAGTATGATGCTGTCTCTGTGTCAGTATGATGCTGTCTCTGTGTCAGTATGATGCTGTCTCTGTGTCAGTATGATGCTGTCTCTGTGTCAGTATGATGCTGTCTCTGTGTCAGTATGATGCTGTCTCTGTGTCAGTATGATGCTGTCTCTGTCTCTGTGTCAGTATGATGCTCTCTCTCTGTGTCAGTATGATGCTGTCTCTCTCTCTGTGTCAGTATGATGCTCTCTCTCTGTGTCAGTATGATGCTGTCTCTCTCTGTGTCAGTATGATGCTGTCTCTCTCTGTGTCAGTATGATGCTGTCTCTCTCTCTCTGTGTCAGTATGATGCTGTCTCTCTCTCTCTGTGTCAGTATGATGCTGTCTCTCTCGCTGTGTCAGTATGTTGCTGTCTCTCTTTCTCTGTGTCAGTATGATGCTGTCTCTGTGTCAGTATGATGCTGTCTCTGTGTCAGTATGATGCTGTCTCTCTCTCTCTGTCAGTATGATGCTGTCTCTCTCTGTGTCGGTATCATGCTGTCTCTCTCTCTCTGTGTCGGTATCATGCTGTCTCTCTGTGTGTCGGTATCATGCTGTCTCTCTCTCTGTGTGTCGGTATGATGCTGTCTCTCTCTCTCTGTGTCAGTATGATGCTGTCTCTCTCTCTCTGTGTCAGTATGATGCTGTCTCTCTGTGTCAGTATGATGCTGTCTGTCTCTGTGTCAGTATGATGCTGTGTCTCTGTGTCAGTATGATGCTGTCTCTCTCTCTGTGTCAGTATGATGCTGTCTCTCTCTGTGTCAGTATGATGCTGTCTCTCTCTCTGTGTCAGTATGATGCTGTCTCTCTCTCTGTGTCAGTATGATACTGTCTCTGTGTCAGTATGATGCTGTCTCTCTCTCTGTCAGTATGATACTGTCTCTGTGTCAGTATGATGCTGTCTCTCTCTCTCTGTGTCAGTATGATGCTGTGTGTCTCTCTGTGTCAGTATGATGCTGTCTGTCTCTCTCTGTGTCAGTATGATGCTGTCTCTCTCTCTGTGTCAGTATGATACTGTCTCTGTGTCAGTATGATGCTGTGTGTCTCTCTGTGTCAGTATGATGCTGTGTGTCTCTCTGTGTCAGTATGATGCTGTCTGTCTCTCTCTGTGTCAGTATGATGCTGTGTGTCTCTCTGTGTCAGTATGATGCTGTCTGTCTCTGTGTCAGTATGATGCTGTGTGTCTCTCTGTGTCAGTATGATGCTGTCTCTCTTTCTCTCTCTCTCTCTCTCTCTCTCTCAGTATGATGCTGTGTGTCTCTCTGTGTCAGTATGATGCTGTCTGTCTCTCTCTGTGTCAGTATG